ACACGGCAAGCCTTGGCAAATATGTTGTAGTATTATCTGGCAAGAAGGACATGTGACATGTGTGGGGTGTTTGCACGGTTTCAAAAGGGCTTCCAGGAGCACCTCCTAGAACCCTCAACTCTCTGACCTACGTAAAGGTTGTTCCTTCCGCTCTCCAGGCTCAGAGGGTTTGGCTGGTGCATGGGAGGTCCCAGGAGGACTTAAAGGGAGATCTGGGATCAAGAACCCAAGCGTCCCACAGCTTTCTCCCCCTACAGAACCACCAGTAAATCGTGTCTTCATCTGTAAGCAGTTCGGCCTTGTGAACAGCCTATTCCTTCCTTGACACGTCGCGGGAGAAATGTTATTAGCACTGCTGCTCAAACAACGGGAGATGAGATGATACTATACACATGCAGGAACTTTGCCCCGACGACGGGGATGTAACTTCCCTTTGCATTTCAACTCAACGTTAAACCTTTTCAACACTGAAAACATTTTCTCAGAAATTCATATGGCGTTTCCAGCCTTGTTCCTCTGCCCTGCCTAGGGAGGTGGTCTAGAAACCTAACACTGTTAACGAGAGCGCCAAGGTGTCCTGGGGCACCGGGCAGGGTGGTGTCAAAATCAAAGTCAGGCATTAATGGGCTGGGCTAGGGCCCTCAGTCGCAGGGTACTGAGACATTGAGGGCCAGAACTTGGCTTCAGGACAGCGCTGCTGGAGAGCTTTGGGGCACGGGCATTTCCTCTGAGAACTAGCCCCCCCGTCCACACTGCCTGTGCCGGCACTGGACTAAGAAACAGACAGTGAGGGGCACCTGGGTGGCTCAATTGGTTGGGCAGCTGCCTTCAGCTCAGGTCATGATTCCAGGGTCCTGGGATCGAGCCCCGCATCGGGCTCCCTGCTTAGCGGAGAGCCTGCTTCTCTCTCTCCATCTGCAGGCCGCTCTGCTTACTTGTGCTCTCTCTCTGTCAAATAAATAAATAAAATCTAAAAAAAAAAAAAAAAAACAGACAGTGAACAGAGAGTTCTGTTCATGAATTTCCTGTGTGTGAAATAAAAGTATGAATCCTGAACACATGCAAAACAACAACAACAAAACCCACCAAAGCTTCCATACTGTTAAAGAAATGTAGAAATTAACAAAATGGAGCTCAAATGTGGCCCTACGGCCAGCACTGGAATGAGGACGAATAAGGATAAGAATAATGGGGGGAGGGGCGCCTGGGTAGCTCAGTGGGTTAAAGCCTCTGCCTTTGGCTCAGGTCACGGTCCCAGGGTCCTGGAATCGAGCCTCGCATCGGGAATCTGCTCCGTGGGGGGCCTGCTTTCTCCTCTCTCCCTCTGCCTGCCTCTCTGCCTACTTGTGATCTCTGTCTGTCAAAAATAAAATCTTTAAAAAAAAAAAATAATAATGGGGGGAGGTTGTCTCGGTCCGGGAACTTCCACAGACACAGAGCCCAAAAGAGGCCTGGTCTCTTCTAACAGAATAGTTTTGACTTAGAAGTAGGACAAAGACAGGGGACCTGAGTGGCTCAGTCAGTTAGGTGTCTGCCTTCGGGTCAGGTCATGGTCCCGGGGTGCTGGGATCGAGCCCTGCATCAGGCTCCCTTCTCAGCGGGGAGCATGCTTCGCCCTCTCCCTCTGCTTGTGCTTTCTCTGTGTTAAATATATATATAGTATATATTTTAAGATTTTATTTATTTATTTGACAGAGAGAGAGATCACAAGCAGGCAGAGAGGCAGGCAGAGAGAGAGGGAAGCAGGCTCCTCGCTGAGCAGAGAGCCCGATGTGGGGCTCGATCCCAGGACCCTGAGATCATGACCTGAGCCGAAGGCAGAGGCTTAAACCACTGAGCCACCCAGGCACTTCTATATAAATATTTTTTAAAAATAGAAATACAACAAAGTCACTGCTTAAATACCTTTATTATTTTTTTAAAAATTATTTGGACATTGATATCTCTGCAAAATACTTCTCCCGTCCCAAACCCTCAAACCCTTTCCACATGTCCTCCCTAAAGAAACAAAATATTCATATTTTGTGCCCCTTCATATCTAATTTTTAAAAACATGTAAGATTCAAAATCAAATATTCTTTCCCAGAACTTGTTAGTAATTTTAAACCACAATGCAACATACTTAATGGCATTTCTTTTTAAAAATTAGCTTATCAGACTATTTTATGAGGAAAAAAAAAAAAACTCAATTCAAGGCCTTAGAATATAAATTCCCTGTTTCTGAAAGCAAAAGACACTGAAAAGCCCCTTTGCTCCCCCTGGAGTTTGTGAGATCCACGTTACCAACAGAACCAGCACACAGATGGGACTTTCTACTTCATATTAGGCATTGCTTACTTTTGGGCTGCAGCTGAAATGCTGTACAGTTTAAAAGGAGGGGCAGGTGGGAAGGGATAATTCCAGCACAGAAGAGAGACAAGGCTGGGGGTGCAGAATGGAGGCCTTCTGAGCAGTGGGAATCCCTAAGATCCCACCTCACGGCAGGTTTGGGGTGGAGGAAGACGGTAGAAAATCTGCAACCTGCACTGATTTCTTACTGAACACAAGTGTCAACCAAAACTATTGCACATAGTACCAGAGGCATGTAAACCGCTGAGAAGGTTCAGGAAAGGGTAACCCCGGGTGGGGACGATCCCCAAAGTTCCTTTGGGGACTCAAGAGAAAGAAAAGGGTTGATGTCGATCGTTTGGGAATTACTAAGAGGAGGCGGACAGATAATGCCTTCCCTGTCCTCAACCGCACCGATGTTTACGCAAACAAAGCTTCATCACAGATGTACCCAGAAGATCTAGCAAAAGTATCACTTCTTCATTTTCCCCAATACAACGGGTACACTTCATTACCTCGCTAAAAAAGGGAAGAAATCCTACAGTCGAACCTGGCCCATCTGGCTAGCTGAATGGGAGCAGCGTTTGCATATGTCTTTCCTGTGCGCTGGACTGACCGACTGACCTCCAGAGCCACACGGACAGGGTCCCAGTGAACTCCAGGGAGGGAGCTCACCCCTTAGGTTCCGTGTGGGACCTCCCTCTAGCCTTCAAGGAGCTTGCAAAATTCAGCCGAGCTGGGTGAGCTCACTGTGAGAAGGGAACGGACGGCTCGTGCAGCCCGGGAAAGCACGGCCCCGCTGTGTCCTCTACTCACAGGATGCCTGCCAGCTACACGGGGGCCAAGCCAGCGTGGTCTCAGTACTGTGCCATCGGCTGGTGGGACCAGAGCCAGCCATCCTGATGCCTGGAAGTTTCAGAATCAAGAAAACATAGGACTCATCTCTGCCAAACGGACGGGAATCCTTTTGCCACTGCGGTCACTGGGGCTCCAACGTTCTGGGGCCTCCAAGATCCTGGCCTCCCTATAGGGGTCGGTCTCCCTCTGCCCAAAGCCTTAGGATGACACGGCCTCGGTGTCCTGGCGCCACTGCCTAGTTTCCCAAGTATTTCTCCTTGAAGGCTTCCCCGAAATTCAGTCTCAGTCATGCACAGTACTAAGGTTGTCAAAAGGAAAGTCACTTTATAAGAATATACCATATCCCCAACACTCCTGTAGACCAAGGGGCCACGTGTGTGCTTACGCCGGCCCTGGATATACAGCTTTCAGCCCGTTTTGCTCCTGTGGGTTCCAGCTCTCCCTCCTGAATTCTGAGCAAGTCTCGTAAACTGCCAACAGATGTGATACCCCAAATGATGCCAACCTATTAAGCTTTTTAAAACGTTAAAAAACAACCCCCCCCCCAAAAAAAAACCACACCCTGCCCACACACACCCACACACACACTTTGGCACGTGAGCCTTGAGTTATTCGAGCGTGTTCATGTTCCCACCCCTCCCCCGACCCAACATTTCAGAGTGCTGTTTCGGGAGAACAGCGGCCCCTTGGGCTCAACGGAGAAGGTTGCCTCGGAGCACTGTTGTCGTGAGTAGCAAAAGGAGAGGTACAAATGCTAACCAGGCCCCAAAGACAGCTCTCAGGTTGAGCACTAGAGTGGATGCAATGCTGCAAAACTTTTGTACCAGGATGACTAGTTTGAAACTGCTGGTTGATTAAATATACATTTACATATAGATATAGGTATAAAAATTACTAAGTCAACATTTGCTGTTTTCAATGTGAAAACGATAAAATGTAATTCTGAATAATTGTGCATTTGCCATAGGGTCCTTGTTAAAGGGACCATAAAAATAATTTTGTAATAAAAAAACTCTTTTTTTTTCCTTTTTTCCTTTTTTTTTTTTTTTTTTTTTTTTTTAAGTTTAGTATTGCCCTCAAGTTCAAAAGTTTGGAGCAAACGTGCTGAGTGGAGCAGGATCAGAATCTGTTCCTGCCAGGGATCTGGAAGCCTTAAAATTCAGTGATCCCCGATGGCAGGCCCAGGGAACCTGCCAGCCACTGACTAGGTCGGCATGAACACGGCGGGGCTGGGCAGTGCCAGGTGACCCCGTGAAGCAGCCTCTGCCTCCCGTTCCGTTGGCAGATGCTGCTGTAGCTCCCCGATTCCCTGCACAGAGCTCTGGGGAGGGTGGGGGGAGACACGTGTGCTGGGGCTCTGCCTTCTCTTAAGCTACCAGACTAAGCAACTGGGGGTAGGGGAGGAGGCGGCGCACAGGGCTGGGGCCTGGGCAGAGACCACTGAGCACCAAGGCTGAGGGTGATTGGGGTTGTGGGGGGGCCTGACCTTCTAATCGGTTGGAGGTGGGGTTGGAGGAAGGAATGGGCCTCATGGGCCTTTCGGTGATACAGAAGTTAGCTGTGCAGGAAGGAAAAGTGCATTTAAGGTAGCTTAAAACCAGATGAAGACCAAACTGCCGCTGAGAGCGGGGAAGGGCGGAGAACGCGCCCTGCGCCTGCCCCGCGGGTCGGCCGTGCTCCTTGGTTTCTGTGGGTTAACATTCATGCTTTCCAATGCGAGTCTGCTCGTGAAGAAACAGGAACACACGTTCTCCTGGTTCTGGCAGGTACACAATTTTCTTGGCAAAGTTCTTTTTTTTTTCTTTTTCTTTTTCTTTTTTTTTTTTTTTTTGCCAAGTTCAGTTTTATTTGGTTCCTGCTCTGAACCGCTGTCACCGGAACTCGTAGATGGGCGCACTGTGTTCAGGAACGTGAGTTAGATTGAGAGACTGATACCTGCAGTGCGGGGAGAGAGAGAAACGGAGGCGGTCTAAGCAGGCTGAAGACCGAACAGAGGTGCGGAACCCCCTCCCCGCCGCCAGAGCACCAGGCGGGCCCCAGGCTGGAATCAGAAGGCAGATGCATCTCAGAGCTCTGCGGCCGCACCAAGTTTGCTTCTCTTTCTGTTTCTTTGGTTCCATTCTCCTGAGCTCTACCTACGAGGAGCTGCTTCTAGGTCTCGTGCTCTGACCACGAAGCAGTAGGGTACCTCTTACGAAAGGAGAGGCGGGGGGCACCTGGGTGGCTCAGTGGGTTAAGCCTCTGCCTTCAGCTCGGGTCATGATCTCAGGGTCCTGGGATTGAGCCCCACATCGGGCTCTCTGCTTGGCAGGGAGCCTGCTTCCTCCTCTCTCTCTGCCTGTTGCTCTGTCTACTTGTGATCTCTGTCAAAAAAATAAATAAAATCTTAAAAAAAAGGAGAGGTGGACAAGCTCTGGGCCTCATCCCTGCCCTCCACTCTGCCTCTTTCTGTTGTCCAACACTCAGCCTCTCCAGGAACATCGGGTTGGACCAGCCTCGGGGCCTCATGGGGAGCAGAGCACAGCCCACGACTACTCACGGAATACGGGGACTTCCCAGCCAACCCCAAAGCCTATGTCACCATTCACTGCATTTTCTCCCCTTCCTAGACACGGCCATGAGGCTTTGAGAACATCAGAGTTCTGAGGTGTTTGTTTTTGCCTCTCTGGTAGGTGCTCCAAGGAGTTAAGCGGATGAAGGAGAAACAGAGGCTGGGACAATCCGCACACAGGGACGATAACCCCCAGGGGACATTCAGAGTTGACAGGGTAGATGCTAGCTCTCCCTTTTCTTATTTCACATGGGAGTGAGGAGGAGCATGGGAAAAAGCAGTTTATTTCTCACCAAAAAAAAAACCACCAAAAAAAAAATGAGGAAAAGCTCGTGCATTAGCCATCAGAATATATGAACCCAAATCACAAGACCCCACTTCATACCCACTAGGACAGCAATAATCATAAAGACATCATAACAAGAGTTGGGGAGGATGTGGAGAAACTGGAACCCAGTGCGTCACATGCTTTAGCGGTTCCTTCAAAAGTCAGGGAATTACTGTATGACCCAGCAATTCCATTCCCAGGTCTATGCCCGAAGGAATTGAGAGCAGAAATTCAAACAGAAACTCAAACAGATACTTATACACTCAGCAGCATTAGTCACAACAGGCAGAAGGGGGAAACAACCCTGCAACTGATGAACGGAGAAGCAAAACGTGGTACAGCAGTCCCCCCCTTATCTGGGGGATACATTCCCCAGTGGATACCGGAAACTGTGCAGAGTACTGAATCCTACGTATGCTGTTTCTTTCCTGTACAGAAACCTATGGTAAAGTACAATTTATTAAGTCAGGCACAGTAAGGGATGAACAACAACTAGTAATAAAACAGTTATAACAATATTCGGGGATGAAAAGTTACATGAATGTGATCTGTCTCTCTCTCGAAATCTCTTCTTGTGCTGTTGTCACCCTTCCTGTTGTGAGGATTTTGGGGGGGGGACATGCCTGCGTGAGGAGTTGAGGCGAGTGAGGCAGGCATGTGACCACTGACCATCTGCCTCTGGACTGTGCTGACCGCGGATAAACTGCGGAAGGCAAAACCGCAGATAAGAAGGGGCTGCTGTCTATCCGTACCACGGAAAATTATCTAGCAGTTAAAATGAAGGGCTGACCCATGCTGCCACACAGCCGAAGCTTTGAGCACCAGGCTAGGTGTAGGAAGCTGGACACGAAGGCTGGTTCGTCATGTGTATGAGGCTCCCTTTATAGAAAATGTCGGGAATAGGCGTGTCTGTATAGAAAGATGGTCAGTGGCTGCCTCGGGCTAGGAGGAGATGGGGACTCGAGGCTGAGGGATAAGGGGCATAGGGTTTCTGGTCACGGAGTGATGGCCGCACAACTGGGAACATTCAGGATGACCGCATTGCACGCTTTCAGTGAGTGCATCGTATGGCATGTGAATTCTCTCCATCGAGCTATTACTTTAAAAAGGCTATAACAGGTTTGAAAAACTCCTTTGAAAACAGGGCAATTACTGAAACCCTGGTAATTGGGGCACTGATTTGCAGATCTCATTTTGCTGCCACTGAACAAGGAACCTGAGTCAAGCCAGCGAGAGACATCACTCGCAAGTCGCCAAAGCGGGAAACATTTGGAAGGGGATACAGTGCTCCTACATTTGGAGAGGAAATCAGGTATTTTGCGACCGGGTTCCTTCTTCAGGTCCAGCAAGGTGCTTGGAGCAGCAGCAAGGGGTCAGGAGAGTCCCCAGAAAGGGGACCAAAGCCAGCACTTGAGGTGGCACTCCACCCCTCACCTCAGACGAAACACGGGGCAGGACTGCCAGGTCCCATGGGGGCCCCTCTGTCACCAGACTGAGACCAGAGCGCGTGGGGCCAGCATCTGAGGACCGTGACCCCAAAACCGGAAAGGCTGCTAACAGCAAAACTCACCCTGTCCGTAGCTGGAGCCTACGTTTTCGTTACTGATTCAACTTGGGAAGAAATACGAGAGTGGCCAAGGTTGGGAGAAATGCTGCTGATAACAGAAGTGCCTGAAAGCTTTGAGCAGTGAGTTTCTTCAGTGAGCACACTGAGATTTACTCTGCTCTATGGTTAGGGATAGGAATCCCTCCATGAGCAGGCCCCCACGTGCAGATAGAGCACAGAAACTACGCAGAAACAGGTGGAGAGGGTTTTGGACTCGGCAAGCGAAGGGAGAGCCTGGGGAGGGGGACAGCATCAAGCCGCCCCCTTTGCCTCTGGGGTGCCTTACCATTCTGAACTCCTATGGTAATAGTAGCCCTCTATGGAGGCTGCCGACTTCTGGAAGCAGATGTAATAGAACCCGGCAAAGGAAGCGCCGCTGATGTCTTTGATCGTGTGGTCTGGGACCAGGAACTGCTCCTGCACACAGATGGAGGAGGTCAGTAACAGACGGTGTGCTCCAGCCGCGTCTGGGACTTCCCGTTAGCCTTCAGGTGGTTCTCAGGCTCCAGTGTCCCATGGCCTTGCCCAGACTTGCCGGACGATGGTGGACATCTGCATTTCAACCCGATCTGTCAACAGCATTCTAGATGCTAACACAGTAGCCTGTGTCTTGAGCTCACTGAGATCAGCAATGAAGAGAGGGCTCTAGAGTCCACGCATCTTGGAAATGCCTCGATACCCACCTACATGTCAGAGCCCACTGACAGAACGACCCGGGAAGAGGAGGTTTCTGGCTCACCCCGGGAACTGGTGCTAGGCTCCTGATCACCTCTGCTTTCTGAGGGCAGATCAATCACCACTTGCCCGCGTAACACCCCCTCAAAAAGCCCGACACCTCATCCACGGCCATCAGAAGGGTACTGTTCTTGCTCGGGCACCTTGGGAAGAGGCGAGCCTGTGATCTCCCATAGCCAAGCTACTCTCCCGGTGAGATGAGGTCAGTGGCCTCAGGGCCCCAGGAGGTCTACCGAAAGCCCAGAGCGAGTCACACCGAGAGACTCTCTCCGTCCCTTTCCTCAACCTCTGAAATGCTAGTTTTTAAAAACTAATTTTAAAATTAGAACCTTGCAAGATACTTCCTTTAGTGCTTTATTTGCTGGCATGGTTCCCACCAGAGAGCAAGCTCGCGAGGGCAGACTGGGCTTTTACCCTTTGCACTTGGCTTGTGTCTATGCAAGAAGGGACGGAGCCCGCCCCCCTCCCCAAATTCTTAGCTGTACAAACTAAAGATTGGGAATAACGCTCAATGATTTGCCTGTATGGAAGCTGGCAAGATTTCAAGATAAAACCGCTTTCTCCTACAGATTGGGAACCAGGGGTTGGAAGCAGGTGTCCGCTCAAAGTGATTTCACAAACCCGCTTCACGATTTTGCCAGCCTGTGGCTGGAATGCAGTAAATCCCAAACTATCAAAAGAGAACACAAAAGACGCGTCAGCCCAAAGCCAATCTCTCGAGTCCAGCCAGATGGAGCTCTCTGAGGGCTTGTGAGAGTGGAAAACCCAAATTCCATTCCTGGTCCCTCATTTCCTGCTGGAGGGAAGCAGGCAAGCTGAGAGCGCACTGAAGCTTGGCTAAAATGTGAAGAGGGAACAGTCACTTACACGGGTTCGCGACTGAGAGCAGGAAGTGACAGGGACGCACTCTGGGTCTCCCCTGAGTCCCCAGAACACCAGGGACGACTCAACCTGGAGAGTCAAGGGTGCTGAGGGCCGACCACCCCCTCCCCCCAAGCATGAATTCATCTGCTAAACCACCAAACGGCGTCACCAAAGACAAACCATGGGGCATGGTGGCAGCTGGCCAGTGTGGCCTGGAGCCGTGCCCACTTTTGTGAGCGTGTAAAGACGCTACACGGAGACAAGCGGTCATGAGCACAGACCTGGGGAGCAGATGGGGCGCTGGGTGCGATGCCGGCTCTGGCTGGCCTGGGACCTTACCTTCCACCTCATGAAGACATAATCCCCATTCTTCAGCTCTTCATAATCAAAGTCATCGGAATTAAATGATTTTGCATACTGATAAAAAGCCAGAAACTTGCCCTGAAAGCAAAAAATTGAGCATGAGGACTGATGGGCGGAGGGGGAGGCTGGTGTCACAACCGTCCTCCTGCGCCCAGCGGCGAGCGCCTTTGCAAAGGCGTGACGGCGGCTGGACGTGCCCACAGAGCAGCAAAGGTGGAGGATGGGGGAAGGGAGCCTGTGGTCCCCATCCGTGAACTGAGGCCTGACCCACCCACCCCCTCACCACCCCCTGCCAAGGCAGCAGGGCGTGACACCTGCCTAGTTAATGCGGTCTGAGGAAAGGCCCCCTGGGTTGGGAACGAATGTGATTCCAGAGGGCCTTTTCTCAGGACACCTTACCACAAGCAAAGCCAGGAAGGACTGGCGGGAAGATCTCCTAGTCAATCAACACGAGCCACGCAGAACAACTTAGAGCCATCACGTCACCCGAAGGCAGAAAAGGGCTTTACTAAAGCGGGGTCCTCTGACACAGGAACGTGGCTTGGGGCCAGCCAGTGAAGTAGAAACAGGAAGTGGGTAATATATGTTAAGTCCTTTTAAAAGCGGAGACTAGAAATAGGCTACAAAACTGTGTCTCATGATCCTATTTTTGTAAAAGAAAAGAAAAAAGAAGGTTAATACCTGTTTTAACTTTGGGTATTGTTGTTATAGATGATTTTTTCCCTTCTGCTTGTCTATTTACTCAAATATTTAAAAAATAAATATGCATTCATTTTATAAGAAAATACCTAAAATAAGATTTAAGATACAGAATTTGTGACACGTATATTTCTTTTTCTTTTCTTTTCTTTCTTTTTTTTTTTTAAGATGTTATTTATTTGACAGAGAAAGACACAGTGAGAGAGGGGAACACAAGCAGGGGGAGTGGGAGAGGAAGAAGCAGGCTTCCCGCTGAGCAGGGAGACTGATGGGGGGGGCTCCATCCCAGGACCCTGGGATCATGACCTAAGCCCAAGGCAGACGCTCAAGGACTGAGCCGCCCAGGCGCCCCAACACGTGTATTTCTATTCTAACTGGATTAAGTATATGGAATCTTGACTTTAGGGCACCACCGTGATACCGACTTCAAGTATCAGGAAAACTTGAGGGTGAAAAACAAGGTCTCTGATTCCAATTGACAGGCGGTCCTGGTTTTACTGCACTTTACTTCATTGCTCTTTGGAGATACTGCATTTTTAAAAAAGATTTATTTATTTATTGGCGGGGGGTAGAAGGTGAGGGAGAGAGAAACTCGAGCAGACTCCATGCTGAGCGCAGAACCCAATGCAGGGCTCGATCTCACGACCCTGAGATCACGACCTGAGCGGAAAACCAAGAGTTGGATGCTTAACCAACTGAGCCACCCAGGTGCCCCAGATGGTGCATTTTTTTTTTTTTTTAATTGAAGGTTCGTGGCAACCCTGTGTTGAGTAAGTCAGTTAGTACAATTTTTCCAACAGCATTTGCTTCCTTTGTGTCTGTGTGTCACATTTTGGTGATCCTTGCAACATTTCAAACTTTTTCATTACTCTGATCTGTGATGAGTGATCTTTGATGTTACTAATAGAATTGTTTTAGGGTGCTACCAACTGCCCCCAAATAAGACAGCAAACTTCATCGATAAATGCATGTGTTCTGACTCTTCCACTGATTGGCCATTCCCCCCTCTCTCTCCCTGTCTCCTCAGGCTTCCCTCTTCCCTAAGACACAATAATATTGAAATGAGGCCAATTAATAATCCTACCATAGCCCCCAAGTGTTCAAGAGAAAGGAAGAGTCGCATGTCTCTCACTTGAAATCAAAGGCTAGAAATGACTGAGCATCTCAGAAGCTGAGACGGGCAGGGCTAGGCCTCTTGCACCAGTGAGCCAAGCCGTGAACACAAAGGGAAAGTTCTAGAAGGACATGAGGAGGGCCTTAGAGGGAACAGATGAATGATAACAAAGCCGTTTAGTGGTCTGGAGAGAAGGCCAACCCAGCCCCGACACTCGCTTCAGCCCAAGCCTAACCCAGAGCAAGGCCGTGACTCCCCCTTCAGTTTGGGGAAGGCTGGGAGGTGAGGAAGCGGCGGGAGAGGCCGAAGCTGGCGGAGGCTGGTTCAGGAGGACTGAGGAACGGCGTCGTCTGCGTACCAGAGACGGGCAGGCTGAAGCAGCACGTGCTGACAGAGAGGCTGCAGCAAGTTCTCCAGAAGATTCTAGACCCTCATTAAGCTAATACACTACACTAAACAACCACACTAAGTAACAGACTCTGAACATAGACGAAACCGCTTTCTGTCGGTGGAGATGCCCTCCAGGACTGTCATGGCCGGAGAGCAGCCAACGCCCAGCTTCAGAGCGTCGGAGGTGAGGGCGACTCTCTTGCCTGGGGCTGATGCAGTTGGTGACTTCAAGTGAAGCCGACGCTGCGGGCCATTCCGAGAGCCCCGCGACCCTTAAGAGTTATGCTGAGTCTACTCTGCCCGTGCTCTAGTAAGGGAACAAAGCCTGGATGACAGCACGTCTGTTTACAACATGGTTTACTGAATATTTTAAGCTGAATGTTCATACCTCCTGCTCAGAAAAAAAAGATTTCAAAATATTACTGGTTCTTGACAAGGCACCGGGTCACCCAAGAGCTCCGATGGTGACAGACGGTGAGACTTCTGCTGTGTTCAGGTCTGCTAACACAGCACCCACTCTGCGGCCTGTGGAGCAAGAGCTCATTTCAACTTTCAAGGCTTTTTATTTAAGAAATAGACTTCAGAAGGCCCTAGCTGCACAGAGAGTGATTCCTCTGACGGATCTGTGCAAAGTAAACTGAAGACCTTCTGGAAAGGATCCACCATTCCGGATACCATTAAGAACCTTTGTGACTCACGGGAAGAGGTCAAAATATCAGTACAGGAGTTTGGAAGAAGCGGATTCCAACCCTACAGATGACTGTGAGGCTTCGAGACTTCAGTGGGGCCAGTCACTGCAGATGTGGTGGCAACAGCAAGAGAACCAGAAGCAGAAGCGGAGCCTGAAGATGGACCTGAGTGGCTGCGAGCTCATGATGGAACCTGAACAGAGGAGCTGCTTCTCCTGGAGGAGCCAAGAATGTGGTTTCCTGAGATTGAATCTACTCCTGGTGAAGATGCTGTGAAGACTCTTAAAACAACAACAAAGGACTTAGAATATGACATGAACTTAGCTGGTAAAGCAGCAGCAGGGGTTGAGAGGACGGACTCCAGTCTGGAAGGAAGTTCCATGGTGGATAAAATGCTATCGAACAGCATCCGGGGCCACAGAGAAATCGTCCACAAAAGGAAGAGCCCCCATCACGGTGGTCAACTTCACTGTTTTCTTGTTTGGAGAAATGGCCAGAGCCACCCGAACCTTTTGCAAGCGCCCCCGCCGCCAGTCAGCAGCCATCAACACTGAGGCGAGACCCTCCACCAGCAAAAAGATTAGGATTTGCGAAAAGCTTAGAGGATGCTGAGCGTTTCTCAGTCTTTGAGTTTTTTTAAAATTAAGGTGTGTACATTGTTGTTTTAGACCTAATGCTACTGTGCCATTCACAGGCTATAGTATCACGTAAACATAAGTGTTATATCCACTGGGAAACCAAAACGATTTCATTTGACTCACTTTACTGCAATAGTCACTTTATTGCAGTGGTCTGGAACGGAACAGAGCCCGCCATGTCTCCGGGGCATGCCTCTGTCAGTCACTGGTGAAGCCCTGACACATGGGGATCCCACATGGGACACTGGGACACCAGCGTGGGCTGGGAAAGGTACAGGAAATAGAGTACTGCAAAGGTGCCCAGACTGCTGGGTGAGGAAGGGCCCAGAGGCCGAGTTTCTCATCCTAACATACCAAGGATGGCCTTCTTCGTCCCCGTGTCACTTAAAATACGTCAATTCAGCCTAACGAAGGAGATCCAGATATTTTCCAGTGTTCTAGTGGAAGTCTGGCACACTAACAGCTGGTTTCCAGGTAGTTAAATTGCCACGGACCTAGCTTAGAACTGACTATTCACTGAGTCTCAAAGACCTTGCCTTTTTGGCAGAACTGATTTGAGATGGAAAACCCCGGTTGGACAGGAGATAGGCTGTGGCTCAGTACAAGGAAGAGCCTTCCCGCCAGGGCTGTCCGAGAGAGAAGGGATCCATCTCGTGAGGCCTCGAGCAACACGGAAGAGCCCGCATCGGGCAGGCTGGGACCAGACGGCAGCAGGGAGCCCCTCAAACTCTGTTCCTGATGCCGGCTCTACGCGCACCGCTCGGGCTCCCCAATTCCCTCTTGTTCATTCCCTCGTGTTGCACACACACAAAGGACTGACTTTCGGTGTGTATTTGCGACAACAGGTAAAACATGTAACTTATCAAAAATGGTTTTAAAAGCTCAAGTTTAAATTGAATTGAAATTCAGCATCTGAAGGATGTTCCTTTCTGATCTCAAGTAGAAAACATGAACAAGCAAAGCGGTTAACCTACAGTGAGGTTAACTAGGACGAGGGTCTGCGGTAGGGAGTCCTGTCCAAGGACTATCGTGCTGGAATCAGGAGAGAGCTCGGACAGGCCAGGTAGAGGTGTAGTGGGAAGCCTGAGGCGTTCTAGAGTTTTCGTTATGGACGCAATCACTCTGGGTGGGTTTAGAGGATGAGCACATTGGACTTCCTCGGTGTTTAACCAAAATTCACTGGGGTGCTTGGCTGGCTCTTTGGTGGGGCGTGCGGCTCTTGATCTCAGGGCTGTAGGTTCGAGCCCCACATCGGGTACAGAGATTACTTACAGATAAAATCTCAAAAAACTAAAAACTAAAAAAACAATAATAAAATAAACCAATATGCACCATGGCCATGGTCAACTAAGCCAGAAGGCTATTATGACAGGCTGGGAAACGGATTTTTGAAGGCATAAACTTGTATGAAAGCCAATGAAAAGACTCGAGCACGGTGACTCTAAGTTGTCTCAAAATGTTCAATAATGGTGAGTCAGAACACACCCCACACGGGACAGTCAGAAGTGGGGGCACTGGAGTTTCCAGTGGCATCCTGATGATGCTGAAGTTGTGACCGTGCATGTCGGTCTGGAGCTGGGTGAGAACCCCGCGCCCCCCCCCCCCCGCCAGGGCTCTCCCCACACAGAGATGCCAGCGGAGAAGCAGCTGTCTAGAAACTGCATCTCCACCTCATGCTAACCCCAAAGACAAAGGCCATTGCTCTGTGTCTCCCAGGGCTCCCCACATACAGAGGATGAGAAAGGAATGGTGTACAGGCAGACAGGACAGGGGACAATGATAAGACCCAGAGAGCTAAGTTCCTTGACTTTCCAGCAGAGCCTGGGGGGCCCCGAGGAGACCAAAGACCTACTCACCCAGTGTTTCCGATCCACATCCTCGTCTGCATCCCACTTCCGCGTTAAGAAAGGGTGTTTTTTGCTGATTATTTCTCCTTCAAAGAAGGTCGTAAGGGTTGGATACTCCTAAGATAAAAACCCAAGTATCAGAATAAGGTCTCAAACAGGAGTTTTTACCTTTCCCAAAGGAAAAAATCAACCTGACTTTAACTTATTCCCAGGACTTTGACAAAATGATCACTCTGCTAAGCAATGACCTTTGGGTCAGTCCAGCGATCTGCCAATGGCAGCAGCGTCAACGTGACCTGGGTGCCCAGAGAGTCTTCTGGACTTTATGGAGTTTGCCAGAAGCAGAGAACCCTCCTTCAACTTCACTTGTTACATACTGCTCCCTCAGAAAAGAATTTTGGACAAGTGCATTCCGAGTGTTCTAGAATACAAAGCAGATAGTAACTAAGTAGAATTTACTTTGCAAGGAATTTACTTTCCATTCTTCAGGCTTCCAGGGGTGGGTGTTTTGTTTTGTTTTCTTGCAGAATACTTTGGTATATTAGGGTACATTTAATTCTATCATATGAACTAAGGCCATCCACTCTAAGGAAAATACATGTAAATTACGTCTGCGATGGAAAATCACAACAACAGAAACAAATACCATGGGGGAAAAAATAAGCCGTCATCCTAACCGGATGCTTAGAATACTCCCGTCAATTTTATTTGCTATTTGGTCACCTGCTAATAAGGAGGCACCCAAGATTTTGAAAAAAACTAATGGAAGAAAAAGTTCACAGTTAGAAGTCCACCATTTTTCTGCATTTATGAAAAAGCAATCAACTGACCAACCAACCGGGCAACCCCTCGGCCCAGCCTGCCAGGCCCTGGTGTTTCCTGGAAACGTGGTAATGACGTCACTGGCCCGGCAAGCCATGGATTACAGTCCTAATGTCCCTGGGACCACAGAGGTCCCACTTTCTTCTCCAGACCCTAGGTAGGCCCCTCTTATTCTGCATCAGACACCTACACATGTTTAAAATAAATCTGTGGGGCACCTGGGTGGCTCCATCGGCTCAGGTTATGACCCCAGGGCCCTGGGACTGAGTCCCTCAGCAGGATCCCTGCTCAGCGGGAAGTCTCCTTCTCCCTCTGCCTGCCTCTCTGTCTCTGTCAAATGAGCACATAAAATCTTTTTTTAAATTTTTTTTATTTTGTTTTTTAAGATTTTATTTATTTATTTGGCTGACAGAAATCAGAAGTAGGCAGAGAGGCAGGCAGAGAGAGAGAGGGAAGCAGGCTCCCCACTGAGCAGAGAGCCCGATGTGAGACTCAACCCCAGGACCCTGAGATCATGACCTGAGCTGAAGGCAGAGGCTTAACCCACTGAGCCACCCAGGAGCCCTTATTATTTTTTTTTTTTAAGATTTTATTTATTTATTTGACAGAGATCACAAGTAGGCAGAGAGGCAGGCAGAGAGAGAGAGAGGAGGAAGCAGGCTCCTTGCTGAGCAGAGAGCCCGATGCGAGGCTGTATCCCAGGACCCTGGGATCATGACTGGAGCCGAAGGCAGAGGCTTTAATCCACTGAGCCACCCAGGCGACCCTGGAAACCTGATTTTAAAGGTATAAACTAGCGGCATCTGGCTGGCTCAGTCGGTAGAACATGATTCTTGCTCTCAGGGTTATGAGGTCGAGCCCCATGTTGGGTGTCCATACTTAAAAATAAAATCTTTAAAAATAAATAAATAGGGGTGCCTTGTGATCTCTCTGTCAAATAAATAAATAAAATCTAAAAATAAATAAACAAACAAACAAATAAATGAAGGTGTGCCTGGGTGGCTCCATCAGTTAAGCACCTACTCAGGTCAGGTCAAACCTGCTCAACGAGGAGTCTGCTTCTCTCTCTCTCTCTCTGCCCATCCCCGTTTGTGCTCTCTCTCACTCTCTAATAGATAGAATCTTTAAATAAATAAAATAAAAGTATAAGTTAAATCATGCTTATCTGTTTTAGGGAGATCTACTAAGAGAGAAAGTTCTGGATCAGTTAGTACCTGACTTAAGGGTTTTTTTTAAAAGATTTTATTTATTTATCTTTATTTATTTTATTATTTTATTATTTATTATTTTATTTATTTTATTATTATTTTATTTATTTTTTTTATTTTATTTTTTTTTAAGATTTTATTTATTTATTTAACAGACAGAGATCACAAGTAGGCAAGAGAGGCAGGCAGAGAGAGAGGAGGAAGCAGGCCCCCCGCCGAGCAGAAAGCCCGATGCGGGGCTCGATCCCAGGACCCTGGGACCATGACCTGAGCCGAAGGCAGGGGCTTTAACCCACTGAGCCACCCAGGCGCCCCCTGACTTGAGATTTTAAATGGAAAGCTACACGTGTGGATTTTCTGAAGTTTGAGCTTTAACATTTTTTTTTAAGCTTCCACAAAAAAGACAGAAAGGAAGAAAATGATAAAGCGGTCGTCTTGCAGTACAAAGAAGATACTTATGGCTCAACTGCACGTTTTCCTAATGAACTGATTCTGCGCTGGAAACATTTCAGGCAGTGTATCAAGGGGACTGCAAGGTACCCCCAAGCTCTGAGAATTAAAATAAAAGAAACACTGCCTGATGAACGAGTCAATAGGTTCAGAAGTTACCAGAGAGATGAACTGTCTCCCAGGGTAGGACCAGGAGATTCAAGCACTTGCATAGAGCCAGACCGGCGGTAAGTTTTAAAGCCAAAGGAAGAACTCCGTTTGCAGGAGGGACATCAAGAAAATGACTCAGAGAGGAAGAGACGAAGCCAGCAACCCCCGACCCCCAAGGCAGGCAAGGGCTTCCTACGGGGGGTCCAGCTATGGTCAGGCATTCAGGTCATCCAAACCACTCCCCACACGGATTCCAGGCCGACCAAAACCTCTCCGGTGATGGGTCTGGCTTTCCATGTAGACCCTCTTCCTGGGGGGTTAACACCCAATTGGCTACTAAGTCAGAGGGAACTTCTGGAACATGCATGTACCTCAGTTCAGAAATGAGTAAATGCGCACTCTTGTGTATATATCCGTCTCGGCGAGTTTGGTTAGTGTGACATCTCCTTGGTTCAGACAAGTCTGCCCAACCTCAGCAGAAGCTTCCAAATTCGTCTAGTGAATGAGGGGAGGGTTAGCCCATGACTCCCCGAAGGCTGGGCTCCTAAGCCCTGTGCCAGACGCGGGCCCCTCCCTAGAAATGTCCCCTCTCTCCACTGGTGGTTGGCTCAGAATTACCAAGAAAATGTTACCTGACACCCATTCTTCACAATTCTGGGATTTTACTTCCAGAAGGCACAGTTTAAAAACTGTGCTCAGGGGCGCATGGGTGGCTCGGTGGGTTAAAGCCTCTGCCTTCAGCTCAGGTCATGATCCCAGGGTCCTGGGATCAAGCCCACACTGGGCTCTCTGCTCAGCAGGAAGCCTGCTTCCCCCCTCCCTCTGCCTGCCTCTCTGCCTACTTGTGATCTCGGTCTGTCAAATAAATAAAATCTTTAAAAAAAATAAATAAAAACTGTGCTCATTTGTGAATGTGAGGTAACTAAGAGACAAAAATTACCTCCAATTTAAGAGTTCATTTTCTATATTGTATGCATGAGGAAGACTAGTGCTAAAACCCAACCATTTAAATGCTTTTATTAAAATAAGTTACATATGTGATATTTTCACAACTATAAATGGAAAAGCGAACAAACCCGAAAAGCTCTATTTTACAATACAGGCAATAAAGTCATTCAGAGAATCCCACCATTTTTTGGCATTTCAGTGATTATATACAGTGACCACATACTGGATTTAGAATTTAAAGACTGTATTTATTTATCTGACAGAGAGCGAGGGAGCCTGCACAAGCAGGGGGCGTGGCAGGCAGAGGGAGAAGCAGGCTCCCCACTGAGCAAGGAGCCTGATGCGAGGCTCGATCCCAGGACCCTGGGATCATGACTTGAGCTAAAGGTAGATGCTTTTAACTGACTGAGCCACAGAGGTGTCCCTGGATTTAGAATTTAAAAAGTGTTTAATATAGCTGTTCAGGGGCACCTGGGTGGCTCGGTCAGTTAAGCATCTGCCTTTGGCTCAGGTCATAATACCAGGGTGGTGGGATCAAGCCCCGCATCAGGCTCCTTGCTCAGCGGGAAGCCTGCTTCTCCCTCTCCCACTCTCCCTGCTTGTGTTTCCTCGCTCGCCGTGTCTCCCCCTGTCAAATAAATAAATAAATAAATCTTAAAAAAAGGAAAAAAAAGAAAGATGGGTGTTCAGCGCCATGACCGTACTAAAGGCCAATGAACTGTACCTTTTCCATAGGTGGACTGTGTGGTAGGTCAGCTGACTCAGGACAGCTACTTAAAAAAGTGGTAAAAGGGGTGCCTGGGTGGCTCAGTGGGTTAGGCCTCTCGAGCCTTCGGCTCGGATCGTGATCTCAGGGTCCTGGGATCGAGCCCTGCGTCGGGCTCTCTGCTCAGCGGGAAGCCTGCTTCCCCCCGACTCTCTGCCTGCCTCTCTGCCTACTTGTGATCTCTCTCCCTCTCTCTGTCAAATAAACAAAATCTCTATTTTTTTTAAAAGATTTTATTTATTTATCTGACAGACAGAGATCACAAGCAGGCAGACGCAGGCAGAGAGAGGAGGAAGCAAGCTCCCTGCTGAGCAGAGAGCCCAACGCAGGGCTTGATCCCAGGACCCCGAGATCACGACCCGAGCCGAAGGCAGAGGCTTTAACCCACTGAGCCACCCAGGCGCCCCGTAAATAAAATCTTTAAAAGAAAAAAAAAGTGGTTAAAGAAGATAAAATTCAAAGAATCCTGAGGTGTGAGAAGGCCCCAGGCAACTCAGAAGCACGGCCGTTCTCCTCTGATGAAATGTGCCATTAGCGCCATACCCGAGCCTGCTGCTCATCGAGGAGAGGACCAGTCCGGGCAGCCACGCGCTCATGAGGCTGAAGGACTGGCCTGGGAGGGTGGTCTCCCCACACCAGCCATGAGCCTAAGGGCCCCCCACCCCAGAGCCTGGCCACCCATGACTCAGAGGTGTTTCCCTCTGTTAGGGTGAATTGCTCCTGGGGGATGCCGTTTCGGGATTCTTTTTTGTTTTTTAAAGATTTTATTTATTTATTTGAGGGAGAGAGAGAGAGAGAGAAAGTATGAGAAGTGGAAGGGTGAGAGGGAGAAGCAGACTCCCTGCCAAGCAGGGAGCCCAATGCGGAACTCGATCCCGGGACTCCAGGATCATGACCTGAGCCGAAGGCAGTCGCTTAACCAACTGAGCCATCCAGGTGTCCCCGTTTCAGGATTCTTAATGGTACTCACATTTCCATGCAGCTTCCTAGGACCACAGTGGCTGGGTTTAGGGTCCATGGTAGCATTCCACGGGACAGATTCTGCTGGGTCCTCATGAAGCTAAATGTTTACATTCTGCACTCAGCAGACACCCTGGCTGCCGACCGGCTGAGCATACTGTTTCCCACTGCCCTAAATTCAAAGGCTGGAATCCTTCATTTTCTACCCTACTCTACTGGGTAAGTTTCTGGAGGCGAGAAACAGGTTACCTCTTCATCCCAACGACAAACGTCACAGAAAATTCTCAAACTTCTAATAGAGAAGGAGGAGGACCCAAGGGAATCAAAGAGACAGAAACAATTGTTCCAAGGTGAAGGTTGTTCAGGGCCTTAGTATCCCTCCATTTGTATCAGGTTAGAGTCCTCCTCTTGCTCTTATGTTGTTTCCTCCCCTCCTAGGACGACCCCCTGGAGTAGATGGAGTGGGTCTAGTTTATCCTATCCTTTTTTTTTTTTTAAAGATTTTATTTATTTATTTGACAGACAGAGATCACAAGTAGGCAGAGAGACAGGCAGAGAGAGGAAGGGAAGCAGGCTCCCTGCCTAGCAGAGAGCCCGATGTGGGGCTCGATCCCAGGACCCTGGGATCATGACCTGAGCCGAAGGCAGAGGCTTTAACCCACTGAGCCACCCAGGCGCCCCATATCCTACCCTATCCCACTCTATTTACTATCCCAGTCTAGTTGATGCACACCATCACACGGGTTGTGGGTCCGCGTGGTGATTCGACAATGCTAAACCTTATTCTGTGCTCACCACAACGGTAGCAGAGCGGGTATTTTTCATTCTCATTTTACAGATTAGGAAAGAGAAATGAAAGCTCACAGCCCCAGCAAGGGGCAGAGAAAGGATGTCCTTCCAGGCCTTCCCAAGGCTCGGTGGAGCTGGGCCACGGACAGGGAGGACTGGTCAGGCCCACACCACGGCAGCCAGGTCAGGCCCAGGTCCTCACGGAGGAGTTAGGCGGCTGGGCTCCGTCCCCTCCTTGTCTTCTTGCTGACTCACTAGCAGGGAAAGAATGGATGCTCTTTCTTGCCTTCCATATCCCTAGGAGTTCTAGGACTTTAAAAGTTTGGTGCAGAGAAAGGAAAACCCTCTACATTACCCCAGTAGCTCCTTGGGTTAGGATCTGGGTGATCACCTGACATTGTTCCAGTGAGTGAAGGGGTTTAAGGAATATCGAAGACCTCGGGCCTGGAAGGATTAATGCATAGCTCAGAAACCATTAAACTTAGAATGAGAGGTAGCCATATTCCTACTCAATTTTTTTTTCCCACCAAAGGATTAAGAAGAAAATCAATAGTGTTGGGAACACTGTGACTTCTTTATAAATTTTAAAGATTTGTGCATCCGTACACTTTCCAACAGGACACATCAAAACTACATCCTTTGTGTGTGAAGTACAACTTCACAGGGAGCTTTAGTCGGGCCTCAGGGTCCACGCTCTTGGCCATTCACACCCTGAGAAGGCCATGCGTGCGGCCCACTGTCTAGCTCTAGTTCATTTGAAGGAGTGCTTACCTCAGTAAGGCCTTTTATCTTCAGGTATCCACAAAGGTACGAGTTCCCCGTGTCCACATGCTGGAAGGAAAAGGACACACAGTCTGGTTACAAATGGAGGAACCCCTGGGACAAGCTGGGGATGCTGTGGAAATCCACATGTCCTGCGGGCACAGGCCACGTGGGCTAAGGGAGGTCTGGAGGTGGGTGCCCATGGAGCTCGGCCAGGGCTCACCGGCCTTCAAGACCTTCGGGAGTCCGCCCTACCCATGGGCCTGTTCAGACCAAGGAAGCTGATCCCAGGACCCTCTCAACCTCCTCAGCTGAGTATCTCGAGACCAAAGTGCTTTTCTGGAGCAGCGAGCCCACGCACACAGGCCTCCTGCCGGTCTCCAGAGTGTACTCCTCCCCTACACTCACACTAAGCACAATCCTACATTAGTTCTTTTTTTAAAAAAAGATTTTATTTTATTTATTTATAAATAAATAAATCTCTCTGACAGAGAGAGACACAGAGAGAGAGGGAACACAAGCAGGGGGAGTGGGAGAGGGAGAAGCAGGCTTCCTGCTGAGCAGGGAGCCAGATGCGGGGCTCGATCCCAGGACCCCGGGATCATGACCAGAGATGAAGGTTCAGAAGCTTAAGGACTGAGCCACCCACGCGCCCCTGTGCATTAGTTCTTTATGAAATGGGAAGCATATTCAGGAAAGACCTCATACGAAGACTGCTTGGGCAAACATTTCCGTTATGAACCAAAATGCTGACCCCCAGATCGGAATATATTGTTAAGTGTTCACTCTGCCCATTTCATAGCTGAGCGCCTGTACTTCTTGGTGAAGAGTTTGGAGGCTACAATGAATAGGGGTAACAGGCACGGGAGATTTTAAGGCTAAGTACCCACCACTTACGGGTTGCTGAGACACTGCAGGGTGCCTACCCAACAACCAATTTCCGACCTCTCCATGCTGCCAGGGCCCAGATCCTTGTCTGGCACCCACCCCGGCCCCACAGGGCCTGGGCAGCCCTGATAGACCCAAGGCAGACACATGCCCCTGTTCCCTCGTGAGTCATTAGTTCAGGGGCGAGTGACCCAACCAATCAGGTATGTGTGCCAGTCTCCTGGGGGGGGCCTCTGGGAAAGATGCTGGCTTTTGAGGAGGCCCTCTGTCTTCCCCTGGAAGTGGCAGTACCTGTACGAGTGCCCAGGCCCTCGGCAGCCACCTAGAGACCATGAGGACAAACAGGCCGGGAAATGCCAAGGATGGCAGCGGAGAAACAGGGAAGGGAACGAGGCCCCTGAATGACCAATCTGGAACCAAGCCACCTCCGAGTTTCTTGTAATCAGAAGTGCTAGGTTCACTCATTCTTTAAACTATTTTGAGGTGGCTATGGTTTACTTACAGCTTAGTGCGCCTGAACTGATACAATTCACCCAAATCTATACAGACTGGTCCCAAACAGGCAGATTTTCACATTTCATGATAACTTGGGCTCCCTTAAAAAGCAGACCCCTGGAAAGAGAGCAAACCCAAGTACAATGCCGCTGGCACGTAGATTTTAATGTTAAGTGAGGTCTCATTTTAAACGACTAGGAAAGTTCTGTGGTAATTTTCAGATTTGGGGACTTAACTACTTTCGTTTACACCGTAAATCATACACTACAGCAATCCTTAAAAACTGTAATGAGCACAGTCAGCCAGAGGAGGTCAGCACCAAAGCAAATGGGCTTCAGTGAAGCTGAAATGCTCCCACCGTTTGGACCCGGTGACAAAGGTAGCCCATGTGAAAACTGCCAAAGCACTTGAAATATCCTCATCGGCTGGCCTTGGCCTTGGATGTGATCTAAAGTGGTTGATCTGCACTAACGTGGTTCAGCAAAGGACTTTATTTAAAGGGCACACCAAGCTCTAACCTGGGGCCTTAAATTTCATGTATGCAATTCTCACTGAATTCAATACACTTTGGGGTTTCACAGCTGCTGGAAAGGGTATCAGGTGGCCAAGATACCTGCTAATAAGATTAAAAAGCGAACTGGAAGTTGGCTAACATTTTGCATGGATTATCACATGCTCAAGAATCAGAATTTCAGTTTGGCCTCCATTCAACCATGTATCCCTCCCCTTCTGCCCCAACTCATCTCGATGACAGTTGGTGAACTCAAACACAGTACAATGCAGAGAACTTAACACTGAACGCCAGGCCAGCATCTCGATGAAAAAGATAACAAGGCAAATGTTTAGCAAGAACGTCTCATAGCACAGCTGTGTCCAACAGCTGCTCTTTCTAGTACCCCTTCGCTGTGACCCTGGCCTTCACTTTGGTCTTGGCTCCTTGCATGGCAGAGGAGAAACAGAGTAGTTACAGTAACAACGGCAACAAGGGAAACCCAGCCAAAATCTCACGAAGGTTTGGGAAACTCTCTAAACTAGAATTAAGAGGAAAGAAGGAAGAGAGAAAGAAAGAAAGAAAGAAAGAAAGAAAGAAAGAAAAAGAAATAAAGAGAAAGAAAGAAAGAAAGAAAGGCGGGCTCCAGAAAGGCCCAAGAAAAGATGTGCAACATTGTTAGTCATTAAGGAGATTCCAATCAAAACCACAATGAGACACCACTTCACACCCACTAGCAGGACTGCGATCAAAGAGATAGGCAATAAGTTAAAAGTGTCAGCAAGGCTGTGGGGAAACTGGACCCTCATATAGGGCTGGTGGGAATGAAAACTGGGGTAGGCACTTTGGAAATCGGTGTGACAGCTTCTTGGAGTGGTAAGCACAGAGCTGCCATCAGACCCAACATTCCACTCCCATGAGGAATGAAGACGGTGTCCACATGAAAGCTCATACAGCAATGTTCATTCCATCGTTAAATGGTTTCCAAAGTGGAAACCACCCAAATGTTCACCGACTGCTCAAAGGCCCAACAAAATGCTATATATCCATACAATGGATTATTATGCAATGATAAAAAGGAACAAAGCACAGCCACATCCTACGATGCAGGTGACCGTTGAGGACATGACGCTCGGCAACTGAAGCAAGACACAAAAGGTCCCATAGTGTATGACTCCACATACGTGAAATGGCCAGAATAAGCAAATCTTCGGGAACGTGATGGCTAGGAGGTGAGGTTTCTCTTCGGCGGGATGAAAGGGGGCTAAAATTAGGTTGCAGGGATGCTTACCCAACTCTGAGTACACTAAAAACTACTGACCTGAACACCTTCGGTGGGCGAGTTGCGTAGGATGCGAACTGTATCTCAACAAAGCTGTTAGGAAACAAAGCAAGTAAGCAGGAAAGAGGCTGAGGTATATTCTAAGAAGGTTGAGTCCAAGAAACTGGTCCTGGCTGAAAAACCAGGGCGACGATGGGCCAATTCACAGGCCACTGACGGTCTCAGTGATGGACAAAGAGCTCACCAATCCAGATGTAGGGCGGCATTCCTGGGCACGGCCACAGCTCCCACCAGCAGACATCCTACTGAGGTTTGAGCCGGGCTTCTGCTCTGGGCTGCCCTGAGACCAGTCAGTCCTGCACCAACTCAATCACCACTTCTATTGGTTCACAAGGACATGGGCACCCGATAGGACGTTGGAAACACACGAATGACAGAAGCGGGGAGCTGCTGAAGAAGTCAAAGACCACTTCTCTTTGACACTTAGCGACCCTGCTGGTCTACCGCATCAGAAACCGTCAAAATAAACAATTGGCACAAATTCGCAATCATTCCAAACACGACCCACACCAAGGACCTCACTGCCAGAATTTTACAATGTTGCCCCCCACAATAAAGAAAAAAGTCTTTACCTTTATACTAAATTCTCACGTTTTAAGCAAAAGACAAGAGGGATCACTACATGAGGCATATAATTATGAAGACTGAATGAATCAGTCACAACAGTTTTCCAGTTATAACAAACGCCACGGCTCACGTGAAAAAGTTAAGTTTATGGAGCAAAGATACAATTAACATGAAGAGGCAGTTTCCTCCACCAAAAAAAGATGAAACTATTGATTCCCCCAAAACAGTACGAAAAAGGAGGGTAATGGTGCTCTACGGTTAGGAGAAAGAAAATGTAGCCGCACTGTCTTTTGGGTGGGACACCCACTTGCTCAGAAGAGAGGCTGTCCAAAATTTACTATTTTTAAAGAGCCAAGGGCACATAAGGCAAAGACACATCTTAGGTTCTGTCCTCAGTCATGGGAGCAGTAAGGTGGCACACTAGGTCCTCAGAGCTTCTGTAAAAGGCCTTTCAAGAGGGCAGATGGGGAGGGGCTTTAGGAGGCGGGGCCTCACACTAAGGAAAAAAGGGGCAAAGGGAGGAGGAAAGTGGATCCTGAGGCAGGCAAGGGTAGCTACACAGGAAGGGGTTTTGTGGGGAAGGGAGAGAAAAAGGAGTATGAACTACTGTTGATCTCTGCCTGGAGAAAAAAATGTCAAGTGTATTTCTATTTGCATGAGAGGGGTGAGGTGCAGAAAAGGGCCAGAGTAGGTAAAGCTGTCACTCCAAAGCTACCAGAGGCTGGCACCAGGTATTAGGAAATCCAGGTCAAACTGGGGGGGGGGGGGGGGGGGGGGGGGGGGAGGTGTACACGGACAGCAAGGAAATACCGTGTGAGAAATAATACGGGGTGAGTTCGATTTCCCAGCACATGGCTATCAGAGACCAGGAGGAAGCCCTGGTTGTGTAGATAAAAGAACACAGAAAGAGGGTCCCCTGGAGCCGAGGAGGAGGAAGATGAAGGTATGGGTTGGGGAGGCAAGCCGGGGAGACTGGGAGGGGACTGGAGGTGGCCAAAGAATGGAGGCAGGGAGCATGAGAAGCCTAGAGTGGGAGGCCTGGGGCTGGGGGCAGCTGGGTGCCTGGGCCAGGAAGAGACTGGGACAGCTGTGGGGGGAGGGAGGCCAGGAGGCAAGATCCCCACATACTTGGAGGAACTCCACTCAGCAGCACCCAGGATGTGAGTGCCTGGTCTTGAGGGGAGTAATTACCAGAGGCTAGGAATCAGTTGTGGGCTGGGGGGCGCTCAGGGGCTAATGGAGGGAGTGTGCCCAGGTAGCCAGGTCGGAGGGGACTAACTAGGCTCTCCCAAGGAAGAAATCCTGGGAGGAGGGCCCCAGGGTTTGAGGATCCCTGGAACTTAGGAAAGGGGAGGGGAGGATGACTGTTTCAGGTCTGAGATAATTTGACATGGGCCCAGCCTCGGGTAGGGTCCCGAGTCAGGAGAAACCAGTGGAGAGCTCTTTCAGGGTCTGAAAGGGACTGGAGGGGGGTGCTGATCTCGGGACGAGAGGTCCTGGGGAGGAAGGACTCAGGTCTGAGGGTGGCCAATCACGGGGGGGCTTCCGGATCCCAGGCAGGCCGGTCACGGGCTTCGACTCTGGGACAGTGTTCAGGGTCTGCCAGGAGCTGCTCCCGACAGGCTCCGGTGTGAGGGGCAAGTCAGGGCTGGGGCTTGGAGAGTGTGAGACACCAGCTGGGCAGGTCCCGGGGGGTGAAGCGCCTGGTGCAGGAGGCCCGGCGGCGAGGGCCTGGTCCGCGGCTGCGGGCTCGAGAAGCCGGGGGCGGGCACGGCCCGTGAGCGCCGCGAGGAGGCCCGCGGGCCCCGGCCGGCCCGGCCCGGCGCTCACCTGCAGCACCACCTCTACGTCGTACGAGTTCCCCTTGCTCTTCTGGTGGCCGCGGAACTTGGAGCCGCTGTAGAGCAGGCTGGTGGCCACGCCGGGCTGCTGGGTGTTGATGGGCGGCGGCGGGATGAGCGAGGCCGCGGAAGCGGCCGAGGCACCGGCCGGCGGGGGACACTCGGTGCGGACCGGCATCGCGGGGTCCCCCGGAGCCAGGGCTGGGGGGAGGGGAAAGGAACCGCCGCCGCCGCGCGGGAGCCGGGGGGGGGGGGGGGGGGGGGGGGGGCGGGGGCGCGCCCGCGGGGGGGGGGGGCGGATGGGGGAGACCACCCGCCCGCTGCCTGCGGACCAAGCGCTCCGGCTGCCACCGGGACCCCGGGACCTGCGAGCAGGGCCTCCCTGTCCTGAGCTGAGTCCCCCTCCCCACTTGCCCTCGCACACACACCACCCTTTCGATTGGCTCAGGCGCGCCGGGGGGGGAGGGAACAGGCTCACGCGGCGCTTCCACCCATTGGCGGGAGGAGAAAACACGTGGCGGGGTGCGCGAGGGGCCCTCTGGGACTTGTAGTCTTCTTCCCGAGGCGCGGCGTGGAGGGGGCGGGGCGAGGAGCGTTTGTGATGCTGATTGACTGGGGGTGTGCGCAGGAGGCGCGCAGGAGCGACGGCGCGCCGCTGGTGTCAAGCGGAAGATGGCGGCGTCCAGGGGAGGCTGAGGGCTCTGGGGAGGTTGTGAAAGGTTTCCGTACAACCGGAGCGTGCGGCTTTGGGAATCCCTTCGCTCAGTTTCCTGCTCTCAGGTTTCCCGCCGGTTGTCCCCCCAGACTCTCGGGCGCAATGTGGAGGAGCTGCCTCCGGCTGCGGCACGCCGGGCGCCGCCTCCTGAACCGGCCCTGGGCTGCCCTCACCGTGTCCGCGGGGCGGGAGCCAAACCCACTGACCCCTGCTCGGGCCTACGCGCCCCCAACAGGTGAGGAAGGCCAGGGCATATTCTCTTTGGGCCAGGGCCCGAGACGGACTAAGGTGGGCTGAGGGATTCGGCTGTGTAGGGCGGGTTCACCGAGGCTGGGCTCAGGCTCGTGAGGTTACTCAGTTCAATGGGGGTCCTGCTACGGATCGGGGAAAATAGGCGGCCAGGCGAGGACACACATCGCGTCGCTGCGTGAGACAGTAGTTGCCATTTGGGACGTGCAGTTTTTCTCAAAGCTTATGGTTTTCTTTTCCGATAAGGAAAGCAAATAGCATTCTTGTTCTCAGGCAGGGAAATTCAGGTTCTTAGATCAGGACCACACCAAGGTCACAGAGCAGACTCAGAAGTTTTTGGAGGGCAACGGTCAGTCTGACCTTTTTCTGTGTACCCATGGCTGGGCATCCTGGAACGGGGCATTCAGTGGGTATTCAGTCTTCTATCCTGGACAATTTCTCTACAGGTTCCGTGGCCCTCGGTCCCACTGTCCTACCACAATCCCTGCCATTTCTTCTAAGAAGTTGATCCTGGTGCCTCCTTTCACTTCTGACTGATAAGGCCTAGAAGAAGGTAGTAACACTTTCACTGAGTCTGGGAAGAGGTTTTAGGGTAAGAGTGGGAATGATTCCCTTAAATGAGCGCAGAGTAGTAATACTCTTTAGTTATTTTTTCTGTGCCGAGAGCTGGAGGCATGGTAGTCTTCAAGGTAGGTGAGGTCCTACCTAATCACTGTCATTATAGTTCACTGCAAGTTATAATAGTCTGATTAAACAACAGTTTATCCTGTGATAAGGGAAATACAAAGAAACTGACAACATAAAGAAGCACCTACTCTCATCTTGCGGGTTTTGAGGGTCTGGAAAGGATCTTGGATGAAAGGACATTTCAGATGAGTCTTTTTTAAAAAATATTTTATTTATTTATTTGACAGAGACATAGCAAGAGAGGGAATACAAGCAGGGCGTGTGCGAGAGGGAGAAGCAGGCTCCCCACTGAGCAGGGAGTCCCAGGACTCTGGGATCGTGACCTGAGCCGAAGGCAGACGCTCAGTGACTGAGCCACCCAGCCTCCCCTCAGCTGAGTCTTGACAGATAAGTTGGAGTTCAGTGGAGAGGAGGAGGAAGAGTGTTGGGTGGACAGAACAAGTTCAGAGGTGACAGCAGGGTGTGAGGGACCTTGCTGTGACATTATTTTCTTTAGAAAATCTAGAACTCTACAGACAGTTCGACATTGTGGCAGAAGTACAGACCTGGGGTCTAATGCTGCCTGAAGGTACAGCGTGATCTTGGGCACTGGACTGCTTCCTTTGGGCCTCATTTTCCTCTGTGGGTTGAAGGACCAGGTTGCCTATGAGGGTCCTGTTAAGTTTCATAATTTTATATACATGGGGGAGAGAGCTGGATGCAACAAGGAGCTGACATTTTCCCTGTGGCGGTCCAAGTCGAAGGGCATGAAAGTGGGCCATGAAGAGCCAGTAAAGAGGGAGAAGGAAGGGCACTTGTGACACTGTGAGTTATAAGAAGAAATATACAGTTGATGGGGCACCTGAGTGGCTCAGTGGGTTAAAGCCTCTGCCTTCAGCTCAGGTCATGATCTCAGGGTCTTGGGATCAAGCCCCGCGTCGGGCTCTCTGCTTAGCTGGGAGCCTGCTTCCTCCTCTCTCTCTCTGCCTGCCTCTCTGCCGACTGGTGATCTCTGTCAAACAAATAAAATCTTTAAAAAAAAAAAAAAAAAAAGGAAGAAGAAATATACAGTTGACTCTTCAAACAACATAAGGGTTAGGAATATCACTACAACCCCCCACCATTGAAAAATCACATACAACTTTTGACTCCCCCAGAACTTAATTACTAATAACCTGCTGTTGACCAGAAGCGTTACAGATAGCAGTCGAGTAACACACATTTTGTATGTTAGATGTTTTATTATTTATAATAATATATATTTTATTATATATATTTATTATATGTATTATATGTATAATATATATAATAATAATTACTATTTATTTAGATTCTTAAAGTAAGCTAGATACAAGAAGATCTTATTTAGAAAATTAGAATGAATTATAAGGAAGAGATCAGGAGGAAGAGAAAATAACATTTACTGCACTATAAAAAATCCAGGTATAAGTGGACCTGTCCAGTTCCAACCCACATTGTTCAAGGGTCAGCTGTCTCTTTTGGTCTCCCTTCAGTTCCTGGCACACATCTCTCTCTCTCTCTCTCTCTCTCTCTTTTTTTAAAGATTTTTTTTTTAAGATTTTATTTATTTATTTGACAGAGAAAAAGATCACAAGTAGCAGAGAGACAGAGAGAGGGAGGGGGAAGCAGGCTCCCCACTGAGCAAAGAGCCCGATGCGGGGCTCGATCCCGGGACCCCAGGATCATGACGGAGCAGGAAGGCAGACGCTTAACCGACTGAGGCACCCAGGCACCCCTTTTTAAAGATTTTATTTATTTATTTATTTATTTGTCAGAGAGAGAGAGAGGAGAGCGCGCACAAGCAGGCAGACTGGCAGGCAGAGGCAGAGAGAAGCAGGCACCCTGCCAAGCAAGGAGCCGGATGCAGGACTTGATCCCAGGATCCTGGGATTGTGACCTGAGTCGAAGGCAGCAGCTTAAGCTACTGAGCCACCCAGGCATCCCCTGGCACACATCTCTTAAAACCCTTGTAATTTACTAAGCAATAAGAGCTATGGAAGAGGTTTTTATTATAATATTTGGTCTTCTGTCCTAAAATTGCTCCAAAGATATAAAGTTGAAAGCAGTATTTTATTCATAATCCTCTTTCAACCACACCTGAGGTTATGTAAATGAGGTGGCTTTTGGAAAGCACCTAAGGATGGGGGCTGGTTGCCAGGGGAACCAACCACAAGATGAGTGGTTTGGTACTTTTAGGCCTACCCCCTGACTTCTGGGGAGGGGAGAAGGGCTGGAGAGATTGACTTGATTGCTAGTGGTCTGTGATTTAATCAATCGTGCCTGTATAATGAAGCCTCCATAAAAGCCCCTGAACTTCGGGGTTCAGAGAGCTTCAGGGGTGGCGGACACTCGGAGATGCTGGAAGAGTAGCATGCTTTTCTCAAAGCTTGCTACTTCTCTCAGAGAAGGCACAGAAGCTCCACAGCCTTTCCCCTAGACCTTGCCCTGCACATCTCTTCATGTGGCTGATCCTGAGTTATATCCTTTTATAATGAGCTGGCAATCTAGTAAGTCAGGTATTTATCTGAGTTCTCTGAACTGCTTTTGGCAAAGTCATCAAACCTGAGGCGGGGTCCTGGGAGCCTCTGATTTATAGCCAGCAGTCGGAAGCATAGGAGACCACCTGGGCTTGTGGTTGGCATCTAAAGGGGGCAGGAAATGCAGTCTTGTGAGACTGAGCCCTTAACTTGTGGCATCTGATGCTATCTCCAGGCAGATAGTGTCAGAACTTCATTGAATTATAGGACACCAGCTGTTGGGTGGCAAACCCCCCAGACATTTGGAGCAGAGAGTGTCTGTGTGAATGCATAAAGGAAAATGAGTTTCCTTTACAATATCCTGGGAAGGTACAACACGACCAAAGGGGACATGTGCAGAGTTCACTGAAATTGGCATAGGCAGAGCGTTCATTTGGATCAGTGGTGCCATTTCCTATTACTATGGCACGCAATCTACCATCTCTGTTTCCCTTCTACTGCAGACTTTACTAGTTTAGGCTCTTGGAAGTAGCTGGCACATGGAAGGTAGTTAAACATGAAAGAGAAGAGGAATGTAAGAATGAAGCCCAGTGGGAGAGAGGTTCATGAAACCAGGCCTGTGAGTGCACTGCAAAGACACTGCCACTGAGATTCTGTGAGTCTTGGGAATGGTGGAATATTAAACCCAAGTGGGGGCCTTCTCCATGAAGACTCTGGCAGGCAGCTTGAACTTGGCTCCTTAGGAATGGCCGTGCCAGTGAAGGTTGTCAGAAGAGGAGGGGTTTGGGAAAGGGTTGCTGGGGTGTTAGAGGAGATTTTGCAGCAAGGAGGCCTGTTGGAGGGTATGTGGTGGTCCAGCTCTGTACCAGTTGTCAGAGATCCATCAGCTGGTTTAGAGGAGAAGGTGTTTGGAGAGGCTGTATGTCTGGCTGCGTGCAACACCCAGTAAAGCCAAGGCTGGAAGTCTTGTCTCTGTTTTCACATTGTCACCTAGACAAGTCATTTGGCTTCTCAGAGTCTCTACTACCTCAGAGGCATCACTTAACTGTCTTCACAGAGTGACTGTGTTGGGTTGAGGGAGATTCTGTAGATAAAGCCCAGCTTGCCACCTGTTTTTCAAATAAAGTTTTATTGGAACACAGCCATGCCCATTCATTTTCATGTCATCTCAGGCTACTTTAACTACTGAGTATAGTAGTTGCCCAGTA